TTACTTGAAAGTCTTGCTTGTTCAGCAGGATAAAACTTATACTACATATAATGAATAACACGGATAAATGATCATCAACTCAAAATAGAGAATTGAAAGGGTACTCCCAAAATATTGAAAATGTTCAGCCCAAAAAAACAAAAAGAAACACAAACTATGGCCACAACAGAACAACTTACAAAAAAGAAAAGAGAGAAACATGATTACTGATCACTTAATAATCAAGTGCCACACACAAAAAGCACAAGAAGGCAATATACATAGTTCTTGACGGTGAATACCACCAAATAAAAAAAGAAACAAAGCATAGTTCGTCAATCTTCTGGCGCGACAAGGATAACAGACAACATAACAAACTGCGGTAACTTAAAACAGCCTTATTCCTGACAATCTCATAATTAGACCTCGTTGAAGACAACCATCATCCATCGTATTCAGTTCGTCCAGTGCACTGTTCCTGATGGTGATTAGCACCGCTCTCTCAATGCTTGGTAGTTCTCCTCCGGGAATTCCTCTCGGCCATCCTTGTTGAAAAGTGATACGACCATCTCCTACTGACTTGTATGCGGCAGTGCTTACAATCCCTCCTCCAAGGCATAGTCCAGCCATGCTTGCCGTCGGGGTGGTCCTCAAGTTGGAGGCTACCTTAAAAGGGCATCTACATGATGACAACTTGGCAGCTAATATCACTTTTGAAACTACCAAAAAGCAGGATGAAATAAAAATGAGCAAGTTGTGTAGATAGAATGATGAAGATAACAAAACTGAGGTCATAGACAAAAAAATGATGCCAAATCAAATCTTTAACAAAACCAAAAGTTACAATGAAGATGACTGAGGACAAACTAAGTTCATAGACAAATCTGATCATGCCACTTTTTACTTTACCAAGACAAACAATGACTAAAAAGGGACTGAAGGGTTTGCACTAAAGATTAGTTATCTAACAGCAAAAGAATGATCCATATCAAGATAATGAACATGGATGGAACTGAAGAATAATTAAATATACAGCGAGAACGATAACTGAAGACTAAGGGATGAAAGACAAAGTTAACTAAAAGGAACGAGTAAGAGTGGAAAACAAAAAATTAAGGACAAATTCTATCATTACAATGTCTCGAGACCGACGACAACTAGCACACAAAGAAAATTTGGATCACAAGTGAAATGAGACACTGATAACTGAAACACAAGACTGAGAAGTGACTAGAAAATAATAATTTGAACTAAAAGAAGACTCATGACGAAAAACACAAAACAAGGACTCTGACTGAATATGAATGAACGAAGAGGTAAAATGAAAACTCAGGACGAAAGAAGATAATGAAATGACTAACTGAAGAAAATGAGTAAATCAACCACATGACTGAAAACTCGGACAAAACTGAATACTGACAAATGACACACTGAAAACTGGAAAACTGAAGAAAATGACACCTAACAATGAAAATGACACCTAACTACCGACAAAACTGAAAAAAAGACACCTAACACTGAAAATACCGACAAAACTGAATAAAATGTCACTTAACAATGAAACTACTGAAACTGAAGAATGAAATCCTCATGTGAGGAAAACTGAGACTTTGAGTTTTGAGACTAAGAATAAAACTGAGAGGAACAATGGATTATATTGAAATAAAGATGGCATATACTGAAACGTAAACACTATATGATGGACTGAAATAATAAATAATGAGGCTGAATACTGAAGCGCTAAAAGCCGATCCAAAGAAAAACTGAGGACTGATGAAATAAGCACTGACGAAAGGGTACTGATAAGAACAAGGAACAACACTGACGAATGAACAATGACTTAAACTGAAGAGAGAGAAAATGTCCTCCCTTCCCTGAGATTTCCATTTTTCCTACATGTTGCATTCTCTCAACACCCCCGTGTGCCTATGTGTGAGACACACTGCAGGGAGAAAACAAAGGCCAACAAAATTTAGCTCGATTGAAAAACAAAAAAATGATTCTGCTTGCAAAAACTAGTCATATGCATAAATAAGTTTATACATAAAAAAGAATTTGTACTAGAGTTAGATAAGGCTTACTTGTGTCCTTGCTATTCTACTTGAGAAGAACTCAAAGAAAAAATGTGATCACCTTCCTGCAGAAGACTGAAAAAAGGCTAAATTTAAATTGACAAGTCTTAGAAAATAAACATCAACAATGCACCTGACCTGAACCCAGCAGGATGAAACCTGACTGAATTAACAATTCTGATAATTGATCATGCACCAAATATACTAAGAAAACAATTATAAAACACGAACTGAAAAATAATAAACTGATAGCTTAATTAATACTCCCTCTGTAAAGAAATGCTAACACTCTTATATTTCTTTAAAGAGGGAGTAGGTTCAAACTGGCTGCTAGCCACACACATGAGTTCTGAAAAAGATACATCGGTGTTGTTATTCTTTCAGGAATGAATAGCATGGGTGCTGCCTATGTGACACCCTAATTAAGTGCCCATAACTAAAATGAAAAACAGAAAAATAGACATACTGAAACCTGAAAATGACACCTTCTGCAGACTGAAGAAATGACACCTTCTGGAACCTGAAACTGACGCCGCTCTTTGTTAAAGAAACTGAGACCTGAAGAACTCGGGTACAAATACTACACTGCTAAAACTTAAAACTGAAACTGAATACTTGGGGTCCAAATATTGAATCCTGTACTTGGTTGCAGATACTACACTTGGTCCTTGATGCAGCTAAGATGAACTTCCAGCGATCAGTTTTCGGAAAAAAGAGAGACTGGAGACAGCAAAAAAATAGACTGAAGAAACACTAGAGTGAACTGGAGATACTGATAATAATAACACATGATTGAGTGAACAACTGAACAATGATGCATGCTCTCTGAACATTGACCGATGAGTCAACTCTGTGAACATTGACTGATACTAATGGGCATGATACAGAATTTAGACTAGCAGAAGATGTGGCGACGATCTGAACAATTACTAAAACTGAAATACTGAAAGTGAAGAGAGAAGACACTATTCAACTAAATGGAACATTAATGAAATGAGAGCCAAAGATTTTGGAAGCTGCATTTCAGAGTGATTGAAAAAAATGAAGAAATGAAAGCTAAAAGACTGAAAATAAAGAAAAGACCCAACACTGAACAACTATGAAGAAGTACACTAATGACTGAAAAAACAAAACTGTCTGAAGACTGATATATAACTAAAATCTCAGGACTGAATGACTAAAGAATGATGTAAGCTTGAAGAGTGAGCAACATAAGAGCTGAGAGCACTGAGCATTTACGAAACTGATGAATTATTGTGATAAATAAGTGAATCAACTACATATTAAAATTTCAGGAGCGTTCCTGATGAACTAAGCTATCACGAACATTCCTGGCCAAACAACCAACTAACTGAGTGACACCTGCGACGACCATGACGAACTGAATCGAACGCGCGGAGAGGCATATCACATCGAGCAACACACGGACAAATTGGGCAGAGCGATAACAGCAGGGAGACAGGGGGAAAAGTACCTTGCTTCCCACCGCGGCGACTACTACCTCCCCCATCGACGGGCGCTGGTGGCGAGCACGACGGGAGAGCTCCCCGAGCTCCCTCCAGACCAACATCTCCTGTACCTGTGGTCATCCCTGTGAAATACGCCTCCCGCAATCAAGCGCTCTTTGCTGGGGACCCGCCGCGCGCCATCTCCGCCTGGACGACCTGCTGCTAATCACCGGCGAGGAGCCCCACCTTCCCTCCGCCGTCTCCGCCCCTCCTCCGTCAATCCCCTCCTCAGCCAAGACAAAAGTAGCCGCCCCCCACCGACTGAATGGAAAACTGCGACAGGATGACCCGGTACGCCGAGACTGAGGACAAACCAACGCACAGAGATTTGTGTGGATCCAACGGATAGAAAAACGACCTGAGCCGAATTTAAAAACAGACGTCTGAAAAATAGTAAAACTGTATATATATACTCTGCCCCTGCACGTCCTGTGTGCAAATTGAGGTCAATGATCGGGACATGCATGGTCCGGAGTCGTGCACGCGTAAAGCGTTCGCGGGATTATAAGATTCTCGAAACACGGTGGCGGGCAGTGCAGACTGCAGACTGGCGGTGAATCGCCGCGGCCACGATGACCGGCCCCGGTCGGAGTTCCGGATCCTTCCTCGCAGGTCGTCCTCGGCGGCGGTACCCGTTGTCCCAACTCCCAACAGGAGGAGGTTCAGGCTCGGACCACGGCGGCGGTGCCCGCCGACCTCAGTGGAGGCAGGTCCCGTCTGTGAGGCTCCCCGCCGTCCTCAGCGGATGCGGTTCTGGCTTGACCCTCGTCGGCTCGCCGGCGGCGGCAGAGGATCCCACCTGTGTGGCGTCCGCGCCTACGTCGAGCGGCGGACGGAGGCGGCGTTGGGCGCTGGCGGAATGGGATGCCACTCCCACTGGCAAGGCGTCTCGCGGCGCACTTGGGAGTGAGGAAAGGCCGCGATGTATGGAGCGTAGCAGGGGAAAGCGTGTGCGGCACAGCGGCAGTTCGCGACCGTGACTTCAGAGGGGAACAGGGGAGGCTGCGGCGTGCGGCTCTCGGCACTGTTCGCCTGAATCTCCGATTCTCGGCCTTTTTTTTTTTGAGAATCGATTCTCCGCCATTAGACGAAGAGAATTGAGTGGACAAAAATCCGATCGGTGCCATAGCTTATAGCTCCTTTATAAACATATAAACAAGAACCAGGAGCACATTTTTTTATATCTATAAAAAGTAAGTACTTCACTGAAAGACATTGGTACATCAAGGACTGACTTCCACTCCTGGGCCTCTGCATAAACTTTTTTTTCCCCTTTGAGCTTGCCTCTGCATAACTTTGAATGTAAGTAAGACAATTTGTATAGGAGATTACACTCTCGGGGCTTATTGGCATAACAAACTCGTAAAGGTTACCAGGGCAATTCACGGGCCACGCACGCGCATGGCACGCGGCCGTACAGCAAGCCACGGCCGTCGTCGACTCAGTTGAAAACGACGGTGAAGCCGCCGAGCCCGCTGGCGATCACGAGCGGGACGACGGACGCGTAGAGGATCACCTTCCCCTTGCGGCGGCGAGCGGGGACGTCGCCGGAGATCCAGAGCGCGGCCCACATCTCCGCCACGCCGGCGACGAAGGCGCCGCCCAGGCCGAGGAAATAGTACGCGAGCTCCTGGCCGCCCGGGCGCCTGAGCACGGCCGCGTAGGTGGCCATGGTTGCGGTGGCGAGGCCGACCCCGAGCAGCGCCTGCGCGAGCCTGGACGCGCGAGCGCTGTCGTCGCAGGCCTCGACGATCGCCTCAGGGTCCATGCCGAGCAGGGAGACGTTGCCCTGGATGCTGAACGCGGCCATTACCCTTGATTGGCGTAAGCTGGCCTGCTTGGAATCTTGGATGAATGGGAAGGAGGTGGCAGGAGGGAGAGAAAGAAGAAGGTCGAGAGGAGCTGGGGAGTGGCGGCTGTGGGCTTGCCGGCTCCGGCCTTTTAAGGTACAACCAGATCGGGCTCCCGGGCTTTCGGGCTCCCGCGCTTTCTCGGCCTTCTGATTTAATTCGGGCTTTCGGGCTCCTGGACTGTTTTGCCTAGTTGATTTAGCTCTATCGGGCTCCTCCTCCCAGAGTAAACAAAGTTCGGTCGGCGGCTGTGTATTTTGTTCGGGCTTTCGGGCTCCGCACGTGCAACCACTAAAGGCTGGTAGTATTCCTCAAAAAGAAAAAGAAAAACCACTAAAGACTGTCGCTTTTTGTCTCATAAAAAAAACTCGGCTGTCGCTTTAATGGGTCCACATGCACGATCCTCATTCGCTCTCGGAGATCATGCAGCCTTGACATGGACCAAGATGTAGGCACTGATTATTTGTCTGTTGCCAGATTTTGGCTCTCAAACAAAAAAGAATCCTTCCTTAATATAGCATGTGTAGTAACCATATGGAGCATATGGAAACTTAGAAATTCCATTACCTTTAACAATGCCATATGGTTGTTGTCAAACATGTTTCAGGGAAGATGTTGAGTTTGACCAAGATCTAGGCGATATTGGTTCCGGAACAGGAGAAAGAAATTTTGGGGGACTTTTTGAGGTTCTTAACGGAAAAAGTGAAGGCGCCTCTAACCATCAAGAGTGGCTGAGCTGGGACAAGCTGCGCATTGTGAGGAAGGATTCAGAACTGGGCTCGCCCGCTTCCACTTCAAACAAGCTTGCTCTGAGTGCTGTGATGTTCAGCCCTTCATGAGTTCTTCAGCTGACATGGTCCCCCTAGCCAGTTGCAGCCCCTCCTCTGAAGGCCAGGAGGGCTCTCAGCCTCTT